CACTTACCAGCACTTAACTTTAACCACACAAACAAGGTCTCCACAACACAGCACTGGCTAGACATTTACTTAACTGCATTTTATAAGCTAACCATTGTGATTTCTCAGGGTAGGGTAAATCACTAAATTAGCAAAGTTAAAGACAAAACGTCCAGAAAAACCAACCTGGGCTGGTAGCTGATATATTTGTACAGTTGTCCAATAAATATTGCATAGATTTGAACGGTACTGACACTTTTTTATCGATATTGCATAAGAAATTACCTTGTTACCTGTAATAGCTGAGTGCTAAATCTGTTTAGTCACTTGTAAATCACTGAATTCAGAGTTTGTTCTCTGCCACCCCATTTTCACATGTCCAAGACTATGAGAAACTCAGTTAACCTCAGTTTTTCCCATGGTTGTTGTATTATTTATTCAATTCAATTTTAATTTAGTTTAATTTAATTTGTATAGTACCAAATCACAACAACAATTGCTTCACGGCAGTTCATATTGTAAGGTGCAATATAACCCTAAAATAATACAGGAAAGACTATAACAATCAGATTAAGAGCATCGCTTGACAACAGTTGGAAGGAAAAACTCCCTTTTAACAGGAAGAAATTTCTGGCTGTATTTTCACTTTTACTAAATAAAATAATTTAAGTCATTTTTTGGGGGGGGGGGGGGGAGTCAAAGTCTAAAGTTTTTAAGTTGTCAAAGTCAAGGAGCTCCTAAGGTGTCAACTATCACTTCAATGTAACAGTGTCTCTGTGTAAAACAATGACAGAGGGATGGATTTTTATTAGAAACACTCTGCTGCCATTTCTGATTCACCATTTGATAAGTGAGATCTGAGTGTTTTTGTGGGAGCCTGAGGTGAGAATGCTGCTCTGTTATCCTCTTTTTTTTTTTTTTTTTTTTTTTTTTTTTTTGGTGACAGATCTCAAAAGAAGATCAGCTGGGCAGACAGATGGTACGGATAGTAGCTACGTGTGTTTATTTTTTTAACCGTAGCCTCAGCTCACACAGCTCAGATAATGAATGCATTAAGCAGCCAGTGTTCGGATGAACCTCCTTGTGTGCAAAGTTTTTCGTGTCTGTTAATATCTGTAGACTCTCCAGTGACTCTCAAGTAACTGGGGCTAAGTGTATCTCCTGGGGTCCTACTTCCTCTGAAATATTGACTTGCCAATACAGTGTGGGGTCTCACACACACACACACACACACACACACACACACACACACACACACACACACACAGAAACATACACACACACACGGAGCATCTTTTTCCATTACAGTGCTTCTGTTTTCATTGCTGCAGTGATCTTCTGTGGAAAGAGCAATAATCAGCTAAAGAATGTATACTTCTCAAATACCCAAACCACTCTGTTACCAACATTTTTTCCACTCATATTTCGGGATAGTTTCACAGAGAACAGTTATAGATAATATGGTGGTCTCTGCAGCTCTGAGTGAGCACAGAAGCCCCGCCCATCACCTCTTCAAATCTTCTGTTTTCAAGGGGCAGCCAGTCAGAAGAGAGTTGATGTAAAAAAAAAGGGGGGGGGGGGGGGGGGGGAACCAAGGTCCACTGTAGGATGGATAAGGATAATACTGAACTGTAGATCATGCAGATCGACTCAAGCACAGTCCAGTAATTGATACAGGGCTAAATATAAAGCGATTAGCTTATCTTTTCTATTGAGGTTTCTTAAAACTATAAAACACTACTGAGTTTGTTATTTTAATTAGAGGTTGGCTAAAATGTTAATTACTAAAGAAAAGATACAACTGAAGTGCTGAAGTAGGTAGGATAGCTACTTTTGAAGTTAGTTAAGCTGCTCTCATATTACCTCAAACTCAAAGTTTTATGGCTTCTTTTTCTTTCAGTCATAACACTTTTTTGTTTCTTTCATTTTCCCATACAGTTGAGAAAATGTAATCAGGAAGAATTTGCGTGGGAAACCCACAAAAGGGAACATATAAAATATTGTGATAGATAAATGATGACTCAAGATGAGATCCTGCCAAGATGAGAACTGCTTGCAATTTCTGTGAGCTGACATTGAACAATGTCTTCCGTCTCTCACCCCAACCGGTCTCCGCCCCTCCCTGAGCCTGGTTCTGCCGGAGGTTTCTTCCTGTTAAAAGGGAGTTTTTCCTTCCCACTGTCGCCAAATTCCTTGCTCATAGGGGGTCATATGATTGTTGGGTTGTTCTCTGTATCTATTATTGTAGAATCTACTGTACAATATAAAGCGCATTGCGGCGACTGTTGTTGTGATTTGGCGCTATATAAATAAAACTGAATTGAATTGAATGTTGAGCTTCCTCATGAGCATCCAAAATAAGTAGACAGACATCATCCACCCACCCCTACTTGCCATGTCTTCATATCAATGACTTTTACTGTAAAGCCGGCCTAGTGGGACACATTCTTCAAAGCTCCTTTATTTTTAATCGTGAGTTAAAACCAGGCAAGGTCAAAGCTGAGACTGTGAAGTGTGTGTCAGTGTGCCAGCAGCATCCATTTTGCAGGACAAACAGCAAGGACATGCTCCCGGAGAGGAAAATCCCAGTGCCTTTGGTCTACATTTAATCGCTGGTCATTTGTAAATTCCATTCATCACACGCTTCCCAACAAAGACCACTGATGGACCTGTGTGGTTTCTCGCATTCAGAGCCTCTTCTAGTGTTTCATCCTTTATCACAGCTTAAAAGCTTGAAGTTATGTGAAAAATGTGAATAAATGTTGTATTTATAGTGTAGCAGATGGTTATTTAAATGTTATTTAATTGACCGTAAAGATAGCTCGCCTTTTATTTAGGAATTAAATTGTCAGAGTTGTTGGCCAGCAGCTCAGATCTAATCTCTTAATGGCTTGTGTGTGTATGACTGTGTGAGAGATGGAGTACTGCAAACTAGCAATTTGCATGTCAATCTCTATGTTATATATGCAAGAAAAATAAGGATTTGAGTCCAACTTTGACATAACACATCTCTATCCAGTTGTTATTAAACACATTGGATTTGAAGTTATGTGGGGTGGAAAAGTAAGTTAAATGGTAAATGGACTGATTCTTATATAGCGCTTTTCTACTCTTCCGGAGTACTCAAAGCACTCTACATAACATGCCACATTCACCCAATCACACCCATTCTCACAAGCACTTTCTCTATACATAGTGTTTTCTAAGTACATTCACACACATCCACACCGAAGGATACTTGACATGCAGACTGGAGGAGCCAGGGATCGAACCACCAACCTTCTGATCAAAACTTTTATTTATCTATTTTTTACCAGCATAACAGAAAGGAGAAATTTATGACAATTCACCCCAACAAAATTGTTTCATCTGTATTTATGGGATGTCTTGAGGGCCCTCTTCAGGTTGTTGCGTCACAGCTGGGTACAGTCAGGACTCTAGCTGTTCAAAAACATTTATTGCAGGCTTGGCCAAATCAAGGCTTCAAAGGCCGGTGTCCTGCGGGTTTTAGATCTCACGCTAGGTCAGCACACCTGAGTCAAATGATTAGTTCATTATCAGGCCTCTGGAGAACTTCTAGACATGTTGAGGAGCTAATTTAGCCATTTAAATCAGCTGTGTTGGATCAAGGAAACATCTTAAACCTGCAGGACACCGGCCCTCGAGGCCTGGAGTTCCCCCACCCCTGTTATTGGTTTATTTATGTGCTTTTTGTCTTGTAGCATTAGCTTCTCCCCCTCTTCATTTTATTGAACTGACCAATCAATGGAAAGAATAAACTTTGTCAGCCATCAGAGTTTGTATGCCTTTATTTGAATAAAGGCTCGAGTTTGTCAGTCATTGAGACTTTTCCTGCCAATTTTGGTTCTTCTGGGTAGAGTCAAGGAATTTACCCACTTGGGGACCATTGCTACTATTCTCTGATGCTTCTCTGTCAGGGTGGTGAATAATTCAGAGCTTCTCAAGGCTTGTTTGGCACTGCTGCCAACCAGTGACCATCTGCACTGTGACGGGTTCTTCATTTTAGGAGTTGAGCAGGGGACACATGTCTCATTGTGTACGTGTGTTCTTATGTTGTACAGTAACATTCATGACCAAAGTCCGGACCTAACTTTAACTGCAATGACCTGTACACATTAACAAGCTATTTGTGGTGCAAGAGAAAGGTGTGGGTCAAGGAGTTCATGTTAGAAAAAAGTTGTTATCAGATAGGAATACTCCGAAATGATTGTCTTGATAGCGAGACTCTGACGGGCTTTTATGTTGCAAGATAAAGCTAGACGTTGTGTCGCAAATATGTTTTTTTTTTCACCCTCAATAACTATGACTGAAAAAAAACTATTAATACAATAATAAAATAAAATATTGATATTTTATATTGCATGATCGTTTAAAAGAGCATGAATGAACCAGTGAGCATGCATATTCTTTTTAGAGGTTAGATAGAGCTGAAACAATATTTAGCTGTTAACCTGAATTTATTATGTCAGCATTACTAAGGCATAACTACATTGTTGACATCATAACTAGATTTTCACTTTATTACCTATCTCTGATTTGATATCGTTCCCTGCTGCTGTTTGTGTAGCAGTGCGGTGCTGACATCGTTTATGGTGCAGTTTATCGAGTGCCAAATCAAACTATCCTCCCTCATCTTTTTTTACTCTGTTTACAGAAGAAACCAAACATCATGGGATCATAAACAGTGAGAAAGGAATTTCGAGTAAAACATGTGTGGTACTAATACTGTCTGTAATATTTTAAATCATTGCATCATAGGTAAAAGAGCTCCATGCACCTCTTTGTTGCAACTCTCCTACTCCTACTCTCCTGCTACTCTATAATTAAATTCATATAAGTTTTTAATCAGTTACAATAGGACATTTAGAAGATTAATGAGGGAAGATGTTTTATCCCTATTCTTACAACCCTTCTTCTTGTGGATTTAATTATAATGCCTTACAGAATGGTTAAAGTAATCCTCTGATAATCCAACTAATGAGGCTCATTCTCTGATTTAGGAAAATCCCACCTGGCCATTGTCCAGAAGGTGAACAACGAGGGGGAAGGAGATCCTTTCTACGAAGTGTTGGGGTTGGTCACCCTGGAAGACGTCATAGAGGAGATTATCAAATCAGAAATTCTGGATGAATCCGACCTTTACAGTGAGTTTGCTTTTGTTTGTCTTCCTTTATCACTTTATACTAAATTTGTCTTAACTTTCAGTTTAAGTAACACTATTAAATCTTTGAAGTATTACTGTTCAACCTTTGGGATGAATACCTGACAAATGTCAGGTTTCTGTTAACTGAATGAAGTGTAAATTTCACACACGTGTAGATATCCATATTTAGTATACACATTCAGTAATGCGCATACACTCTTATATTGTACATATATTTATTCATATAATTCTCAGATTTACCCGTTCTTATACTTTGCCTGTTCTTATGTTATTGTATTTTTACACACCTCTGTTGCATGTGAAGCTTGCACACAAGAATTTCAGTCGCATGTACTGTACCAGTGTACCTGCACATGTGATGTGACAATAAAAGTGATTTGATTTGATCATTAATAAATGTTGCTTCTTCTGTTTTTGATTTTTTTTTGCTCTTCTTAGCTGATAATCGCACGAGGAAAAAGGTGGCACCCAACAAAAACAAGAGAGACTTCTCTGCCTTTAAACATGAGAGTGAATCTAAGGTGAAGATCTCTCCTCAGCTGCTGCTGGCTGCCCATCGTTTCCTGGCTACAGGTGAGAAAGGAAGTGTGGAAACAGGAAATGACACACATTCACTGTCAGTAATCGCAGTGTTACGTGTACTCAGTAGATTTATGGTAGGCTTCCTTCATTTTGATGGATGTGTTTCAAAAAAACCATCATAATGTAACTTTATTTTATTTTATCATATGAAATGCACAAAAAACACCTTTGGGATGTCGGTAAGTGAAGGATTCTGTCATGTGACCATCTGACAGGAAAGACAGGTCTATGCATGCAGTGATGAGTGATTTATTTACTTTTAGGATCTATTTAAGACCGATCAACATGTCTGCCTGTGCCTGCCATCAACTCTGGACAGACTCTAGCCAGCTGCATGTAATGCTACCAATGACACACATCTCTTGAGAAGTCGTAGGAATCTATCTGCTAAGTGTGTGTTAGCTGATATGAAGCAGTGGCTAACTGCATCGGGGAGTTAGTCACTGCATCTGGCAGTTAGCCACTGCTAGCATGACATAGCACTTCCTTCCCTGGCACACACTGTGGTATTCACGTCTGCTTTGTCTGGAGGCATAACGTCAGTGTCTGCTGACTTATGTTCACATTAATGATTCTTTCCCAGCAGATTTGAGAACATGTCTCTAATGCCTTTGTGCACTGCTGCATTCCTGCAGTATGACTGATGGTCGACAGACACATTTCAGACAGTAGAACGTGCATTATCACATAAATGCTTCCGTGTGGGTTTAAGGACTAATAACTGTTAGCTTCACCAGTCTTGACGACTTTGCTTTTTGGGTTTTTTTTTAAGGATATTAAAAGCCATTAATAGTAGACATAAAATTTAAAAGCTACACCTTTGATTTACGAAATCATTGAAAACACTGAATCCCAGCAACAGCAACAATACAGATGAACACTCTGACTAACTATGTAAACCATAGTGAAAGGAGGTTGTTTGCCTTTCCGATGATGAATTCCAACATTGGCAATATACAGTATGCCTCACTTCTCAGTGTGCAGTGACCATGGCTTTGTTTGCAGTTTGGGTGGGGAACAAAGCACTTACAGCTGAGCTCTGATTGCAACAGCCTGACGGTTGAGAAATCCATGTAAACCAAATATATTTCAACAGTTCTTCTTCTTTCTCATTTACTTAAAAAAAAAAAAAAAAAAGGAATGCCAAAAAACAAACAAACAAGGACACCATGCATTAAACATCTCTGCAGCGTTTTTGCTCAATAAACACTTCAACCAAGTGTTTAGTTATCAAAACAATGTATTATTTTTATAAAACTTTATTTATTTTTCATTGAAAAAGTGTTTCAATTGTAGTTAATTCAACTATTCAAAAGCTAACATTATTTTAAAAACAATCCTTTGACAAAAACGTGTCGCAAAAACAAATCTTATTAGATTGTTGGACCATGAACAAAATGTAATTATCAATTCGTCCTTACCTGAATAATCTTTAAACCTTACAGCTGTCACCAGGCGTTAAGAGCCACACATGGGTAACACAATAGTGTCATATTGTGTTTGTTTGTCTGCAGTTTCAGAATTGTTGATTTTCATTTAAGTACATCTGGATCCTTTAATTGAATAGTTGGTGGCCTACCTACTAACAACGTAACATATGATGCACCTTAAACTCAGCTTGAGTAACCTGTGTTTTCATTATGTTTATGCTGGACTGTAAATTATAGGTTGGCCTAACATGTGGATGAAATTAACCAACACTGTTTAATTTCATGTTTACTATTTTAAGAAATGCCTTGGTCTGTTTTGGTCAGACTATATACTTAAGAGTACTTACATTTAAAAAAAAAAAAAAGTGTCCTTTAGTCTTCACTAATAAATGGTGTAAAATATCTGTTGTTCTGCTTTTTCTCTTTCGGCAGAGGTGAGCTTGTTCAACCCATCTCAGATTTCAGACAAGGTGCTGCTGCGAATCCTGCGTCACCCCGATGTGATCCAGGAGATCAAGTTCAATGAGAACGATAAGCGGTCGTCCCATCACTACATCTACCAAAGGGGCAAGCCGGTCGACTACTTCATTCTCATCCTGCAGGTACTCAGTGATTCAGGGAAATACATGTGTATTTGACTCCTTTGTTGCTTCAGGCTAGATTTGGAAAAATGGTTGGTCCGAATCCAAAAATCTGTAGTTGCTCACTCTGCTGTCAGATATTTGCTTTGAACTCTTCATTGACAGCACAGCACCAGGATTTTTTTGCATTTTGTTTAGCTGTTGTGTCAGAAAGACCTTAGAAGTACCTGTTGCTGAAGGAAACTGTGGTGTTCTATATGACAAGAGTTTTATCAGCAGATAGCATTTGTTGAATGAAAATATTGTATATCTTTACTTGATTAACAATTAAATTAATTATTAATGATGATTAATTAAGCTAGCTGTTCATCTCTGTAGTTAGGCATAGAAGAAAAGATTTTTGCCCAAAGCTTTAAATATGCTTTTACCGTTTAACATTTAAGCAACATCTTCACATCAGTGGCGGGAAAAAGAAACTCAGCAGAGACATATGATTCGCTTACCTAGGCATAAGCTGCTACGTTCATGGCACACCTGCAGTAACAGGAGATGAAACATGAACCGCACAGTTGAAAACTTCAAATTTTTCCGATGCTTTTCGTCCAGATTTTTCATGAAATATTTCAGCCTGTGTTTCATGCTTCTATTTATCAAGAAAAGACTTGTTACTCTTGTGGCAAAAGGTATAGTAGTATAGGGAATGAAAAGAAATTTGCACCCAAAAGTACTGGGCCACACGCTTCTTACCAATAGCAATAGCAATTTGTGTTTTCAGTCTCATTGCCATAGATCTGTAAAATCAAGTACCTTTCCATTCAGTCTGCTTCAATTAACATTTGTTTCAATTCAAGCTTGGTACTGTAATAAGATGGCACTGTGGCAACAAGGGAGCTTGTGAAATTCCTACTCTCCTAAATAATTTATTGTTGACTTCAACTGGTGTGGTTTCAAAGTGGAAGCATTTAGGGACAGAGCAGGGTTGCCAAATGTTGAGGATTCATCATTTACACTGCAGAGTCTCAAACCTCCTCTGGTGTTAACATTAGCCCACATGCTTCATTTCTGGATTTCCTGTAGGTGTAATGTTTAGATGACTCTGTACTTTTATCCACAGTGGGAATGTGTTGCCATATTGCCGTCTGTAATTCAGTAGTAATTATAAATAGTGACCTAATAATCAGGTTTGATTGATTAAAAGGGTGAAAAGAAGATTTCACAGTGCAGTGACCTCGGACAGACAAGCGGTGCCGGTAGTAGGGCTGCATTGGGGTCCTAGACGACATGCATTATATGCCTGGAGGAACTGATTACATCACAAACTCGCTGCTGTCAGATTGCTTCAATACACCAATCCCAAAACTGACATAGACACAACCATTTTCATCTTGAAAACCACCTCCTTCTACACGTCCATACTGTAGCGCACAAAAAAGTAACTTGCCCTGATTTTGCACATCTGCTGCACTCACTCTGTGTACATATAGACGTGCACTCAAATCCCAAAGGGTGGGAAAACTACGCTTCATTGTCTTAATGTCACTCTTTCACACACACATATTTCCCAGAGATCGTTTATGTCATTGTTCCCAAACAGTCATTAGCAGGGTTCACTAATCCGGAGATCTATTTCAGCTTTCTCCCCTCCATTCTCCCCTGTGAGATTTTCCCGGTGGGAGGCCGGATACTGTAGCTTTTGTGGACCCCACATGTGGAATAAGTCGGTGGCATTTACTGTAAGCATGCGGGGCTTACAATTTTCCACCTCTGGTTTCTGCATAGAAAGATACCACAGAAGCCTCTAACTAGGGACCAAGCAGTAATGCTGAACCCACAGTACACAGTACAGTACTTTTCTGATGTGTGCAAACACAAAACAGAGATTTGTGAAGTTTGATGGGTTGCCTCAAGTTACCAAAAAAAAAGAAAATCCAGGGATATGGATTTGGAAAGAGCTGAGATTACTTAACCTACAACATCCACACTAAAACATGGGCAGGTGCAAGCAAAAGAAAAAAAATGGCTTGCACTCGCCGGGGTTCCGCTTTAATTTATTTATTGCCCAAATAAAACTGCAACACATTGTGACACATCGGACTTTCCTGGCTCGAGCCCTCATTAAGCAATACAGAGTACATAACACCAGATTCTATAGTTGATCCCATACACACTATATAAAAGCGGGACATAGGAGATCGCCCACCGATCTGTGTAGTCTCATTTTGAAGTCTTGAGCTGCCATAATGGTTTTCTAAAACCAGATGCAGCAAGCGAGAAGTTGGTCTGATTGAGAAACCAAGGATATTACGTGCTCATGTGGTCATGACTTGCCAGTCTCAGCGTAGGTCTGGCCTAAAGCATGCTGTGCTTTATTGTCTACTTTGCTCTAAATGGGACCAAAGTTTAGAAAATGAACATTGTGCTATACTAAATAAGACTTGCAACTAACATTTGAGACTTCAAACTCATGAGAATGTTTTACTGAGATTATAAAGCAAGTGAGAGACAGTCGTTTTCCCTTTTACAATCTGACATGTCTTTGCAACTTGAGAAGGAGGTTAATACGATTCTGCATTTGTTTTGTTTTTTAAACCCCCCCCCTTAAATAATGTGTGCCTTTTAGCTTGTTTCAGTCACAAGGCTGTAAAATAAAGTCAGTACCAGAAACTGCAGTTCCCTTAATGGCCACTTGAAGCGAGCCCTAAATGCGAGGTCCCATTGACTGCCATATTGAAATAGGTCGTCCATGAAGTTTGCTTTTGTGTGTAAAATTCTACTATTTTATTATTGTTCTTCAGCAGTTCATACGACTCATTGACCAAGCCCACTCGCCTTAGCTGATAACCATCTTCTTATCCAAATATGGTCTTTTCTGACTTCAAAATGCAGAGTCCAAAGACGGTTTGGGACGTCTTTAGATAAGGGGAGAAATACTTTCAATAAATCTCTGCTTGTTTTCATAGATTGACTCACTGCACATACTTTGAACTGTATGTTTATATGCAGACGTAATTTTTTTTACTCTTATGTTTACATCAACATCCAGTGTGCGGTTGACTCGTGAGAATAAAAAACCTCAGATATGATAATTCGCTGCACTTGTTCCACTCCTTTTATAGGGTCCACATGATTACTTTGCATATGTGTGTGTTTTCCTGGCAGTGATCCTTGCTGTCAGCAGACAGCCTATTTGTTTATGACCCGAGTGATTTATGCGTCTATAAAGATGCTTAGTGATTCTCACAAAACAGTCAGTATCGCAGCCCGAGTCCAACTTCTGTTGTGTTCACAGGGTTCACTCAGCTTTAGGAGATGTGCAGGCATCATCTGAACATTTTTAGATGGTGTTTTATTTCAAGTATAAATTTTCCTGTTATGTTTTGATGTTGTACAAGAGGTTTGATCATTTTATTTTTGAGAAATCTCTGTTATGCATTTGTTTCGTGGACAAACTAGTTTCTGAAGTGCTGTACACGCAGTACATTCCAGGGTAATTACATCACATCATTATTAAAGAGAAGCTCCTTCCTGTTGTGAACAAGAGATGGAAAAATGGAGTCCTGTGAGAATAAGAAATATTCCTACACTTAAAAGGAGGCAATCTTTGTGTGTGAGTGTGTGTGTGAGAGAGCGAGAGATGGAGCCTACACCATCGACACGTTAGGCTGGGGTTGAGCTTCTTGTTAGTTGACACTGACTCACACTGTTAAATCCCACTGAGGAAATGTTTGTGTGTGTGTGAGTCAATCAGTTTGCACAAACTGTTGGAGGAAACTGTTCAGTTTGACATCAGCAGTTCATTTTATGACAAACACATGCTCGCAAACCACTAAACACAAGAGGCTGGCAGGACATACTAGGCCTCGCACGTGAAAGCTCACAACCACAGTCTCCCTCTTACACACACACACACACACACACACACACCACAATCAATGTCAGGTGGTGCATGTGTGTGTATGTGTGTGGTTTGAGGCAGAGCCCCTGCAGGCTTTGTTATAAGTTATTAACAAACCGGTGACAGTGAATCCTCAGACCTCTGCAGGGGCTCTACTGAGCTTCACACAAACACAAATGCAACCTACACAGCAGGAAGGATCCTCAGACAGTGTGGGTCCTTATCACCTCAATGTGCCTCTGAATCTATTTTCCAGAGTTGTAATAGTCACACAGAATGGCATTTACCTTTCTTTGTGACTGCAACACACAATTCCATCCCTCCTGTAAGGGATGCCTTCTTGTTTGTGACTAGATGGCTGCAATATTGTTTATTGGTTTTCTCTCTTGTGGGAGACATTATGTTATCCCAGATAGGGCGGTTCGATATAACGATATATATCGGATGACGATATAAAAACATCTATTGTTTCATTTTACGCTATCGTTTGTTTCGTGGTGTCGCAAAATAAACTGTTTATGGCAATATTTTTTGATCATTTTGATGGTCGCTGTAGTGGCTATATTAATGTCCTAAAGTTCTCTCTTTCTCTTATATTTAATATAACCACACTACAGATGGACAAGCGCCTGTTTTTATGCGTTGTCGTTAGCAACAACGACGGTAAAACCATCGCGTGTCCACTTGTTTAGTTTCCACATAAACCTTTCACAATAAAGCTCACGAGACTTTTCAAAATAAACGGAATCATGTGAACTAGTATGCAGAGTATTGACGGATGAGAAGCAAAAAAGACCGTCAGGTGCTAAAAAATAAACCTTAGACTCAAACGTTAGAACAGGCTTTTCCCCGCAGCACGCCGTGCAATAAATACTCACAAAGAAAACGGCGGCCTTTACAACTTATGTCTAAAAATATATATTTTCACGCTACTCCAGGTACACCACGCCCAGCTGGAAACACTTCATGCAAGTCGAGCTGCCTGAGATTCACAGAATTTACAGAAAATGTTAAATTTTTGTGATTTATATCTTGTTATCGGGACGATATATGTCTTATATCTGGATATGAGATTTTGGTCATATCGCACAGCCCTAATCCCAGAGTGTAAAAGTAGGAGTGAGGG